ATTGTTTGGAATCCTGCTTAGTTCATTTCCTAAGTTGTCTGTGGGCAGCAACTTATTTTGCAACTTCCCCTCAATGTAGTGGGGAGGGTATGGTCAGCCTCTGGAGGAAAGTGCACTTAATCTAAGTGTGTAGAGTGAGAGCAAATGTCATCTGTTTAGTTAACAGTTGATGGATGGGCTGGCGCCGCGGCTCACTAGGCTAGTCCTCCACCTTGCGGCGCCAGCACACCGGGTTCTAGTCCCGGTCGGGGCGCCGGATTCTGTCCCGGTTGCCCCTCTTCCAGGCCAGCTCTCTGCTGTGGCCAGGGAGTGCAGTGGAGGATGGCCCAAGTGCTTGGGCCCTGCACCCCATGGAAGACCAGGAGAAGTACCTGGCTCCTGCCATCGGATCAGCGTCGTGCGCCGGCCACAGTGCGCCGGCCGCGGCGGCCATTGGAGGGTGAACCAACGGCAAAGGAAGACCTTTCTCTCTGTCTCTCTCTCTCTCACTGTCCACTCTGCCTGTCAAAACACACACACACACACACACACAAACAGTTGATGGACGGATGGAATAAAGAAGATCTGTGACCTACAGGACCTCTCTGTTCATCCGGGTTACCCATGGCTCTGAACTCCTCAGACAGATCTAGTGTGTGTGAGCTTCTGGACTTTTTTCCATAGCAGCCACTCCAAGGCCAGGGGAACTGAGGCTATGGCTGTCCTGTTCAGGATATTATGAAATTGACCATGGAGACAGAAGGTCTGTGAGTTCCAGCTCAAGAGCTGTGTGCACTTAACGGGAAAACAGATGAGAAAACGGCACCTGGGCCTTTCTTCATCTGCTTTCCCTGTATCTCAGGAGAGGACATCAAATTGGTACTGCCAACAGTGGTTCATAAAAGTGAAGTTTGGAAGGTCTGTATTCTAGGCTGGGCAGGGCACTTGTATTTCCACGTGTGCCTAGATTTAGGCAACATATGTGTTCCTAAAATTAACTAAATAACTCAGTTGTTTTATGATAATTTGTTTAGCACTTAAAAATAATACTATCTAACACTCAAGAACTTATGCCATGTACATGAAGGGACCATGTGTGGTGCTTTAGAAGCATTATTTCTTTCAATTTCCTCAAAACATCTGAGATGAAATTGTTATTCCAATGGTAGTCATGAGGACATGAGTCTTTTTTTTTTTTTTTTTTTTTTTTAATTTGAAAGACAGAGTTACAGAGACAGGTAGAGACACAGAGAGAGAGGTCTTCTATCTGTGGTTCACTCCCCAGATGGCCACAACAGCCAGAGCTGTGCCGATCTGAAGACAGGAACCAGGAGCTTCTTCCGGGTCTCCCTCCTGGGTTCAGGGGCCCAAGGACTTGGGCTGTCTTCCACTGCTTTCACAGGCCATAGCAGAAAGCTGGATCAGAAGAGGAGCAGCTGGGACTTGAACAGGCGCCCGCATGGGATGCTGGTGCCTCAGGCCAGGGCTATAACCTGCTATCCCATAGTGCCGGCCCTGTGGACATGAATCTTAAGGAAATTGTATACCTTGCCACAAGTCATGTATCTAATAAATGGTGGGACCTGGATTCACACAGAAGTATAGTTTCTGCTTGGGATGGAATCCTTATGCAGTATGCTACCTACTATGTGCTAGATGCCAACAACACAAAGGTGAGGCAGATATCTCTGCTGAAAATAGTGGTAGAGACAGCACAGGAGATTCCAGGTACATCAAGGAGTGCTGCTGGCCTTGGGTGACTGTTTAATGAGTCAAGGAAGTCTTCCTAAGGAACAAGGGTTGAACTGAGCCTTAGAGGAAAGGGGACCCCCAATTATTCTGCCAACAGAGCAGCATGGTGCCCTGCTTCTGGAAATAGTATTCCTCTTCTTTTGGGAAGCTTCCCAGCATGGAATTCCTCCATGGTCTTACGAATCCTTTGGTTCTACTTGATCGGTCTAGGAGCAGACACCAACATAACAGCAGGCCAATCATAGACTTTTCCTGAGATTTCTCCACCCAAAAACTCTGAGTGTTTACCCTTATCTTGTGCTAGACATTGGAGAATGATACCCAAGGGTTTTGGCAGCTGGGTGTCTGGATGGGTAGAAGAATGGTCTAGAGCAAAAAAGAGCGAGCCCAGAATACAGAGAACTGGCTATCAGGGAGAGTGAGGCCAGAACACAGAGAGAACTGGCTGCTGGGAGAGTGAGGCCAGGACACAGAGAGAACTGGCTGCCGGGAGAGTGAGGCCAGGACACAGAGAGAACTGGTTGCCAGGAGAGTCTTGGTGGCCAGTCCTTTCCCCGACTCAGCTGTTCCTTCACTTCTTGAACAAGCACGGTCGGTCTGAATTCTCCTGGTAGATTCTCTTTGTTAAAATTTTAGTCAGAATAACTTTATTTCTCTTTTATTTTTTAAGTTTTTAAAAGATTTGTTTATTTGAAAGGCAGAGTGACAGAGAGGCAGAAGCAGAGAGAGAAAGAGAGTGAACCATCCACTGGTTCACTACCCAAATGGCTGCAACAGCCAGAGCTGGGCCAATCCAAAGCCAGGAGCCAGGAGCTTCTTCCAGGTCTCCCACATGGATTCAGGGGCCCAAGCACTTGGGCCATCTTCCACTGGTTTCCCAGGCCATAGCAGAGAGTTGGATTGGAAGTGGAGCAGCCAGGACTCAAACTCGTGCCCATATGGGATGCTGGCACTGTACGCAGCAGCTTTACCCGCTATCCCACAGCGCGGCCCCCCAGAATAACTTTAATATTAATATTTGATAATTTATATAACAGTGATAAGTAAATGTACACAAATATTAAAACATACTGGAATAGCAAACCTAGGATATATATGTCCTATTTAATTTCTGTGCATGGAAGAGTAAACACTTTTTTTAAACCTAGAAACCTTTTATTTAAAAAATACAAACTTCATGCATTTAATATATACAAATTAGGAACACAGTGATTATTCCCACCCTACTCTCCCTCCTGCCTGCACTGCCTTCTTCCTACACCCTCTCTTATTTTCGATCTTATTTTTTTTTTACAAAGATCTGTTTTCAATTTACTTTATACTCATAAGATTATCCCCACACTAAATAAAGAGTTCAACAAATAGTATGAAAAAAAAAAAAACAAACTTGTTTCTCAACAGTTGAGACAAGGGCTGTTCAAAATCAAAACATTTCAAAGTGTCAATTTCACTACTATAGATTACCTTTCTTTTTTAAAGATTTATTTATTTATTTGAAAGGCAGAGATACACACAGAGAGAAGGAGAGGCAAAGAGAGAGAGAGAAAGAGAGAGAGAGAGAGTCTTCCATCTGCTGGTTCACTTCCCAGATGGCCACAACAGCTGGAGCTTAGCCAATCCTAAGCAAGGAGCCAGGAGCCAGGAGCCAGGAGCTTCCTCCAGTTCCCCCCATGTGGGTGCAGCGACCCAAGGACTGGGGCCATATTCTACTGCCTTCCCAGGCCATAGCAGAGAGCTGGATAGGAAGTGGAGCAGCCAGGGCTTGAACCGGAGCCCATATGGCTGCTGACACTGCAGGTGGCAGCTTTACCTGCTAAGCCATAGCACCAGCCCCATAGTTACCAGAGATCAGAGAGAACATAAGGTATCTGTCTTTTTGGGACTGCTTACTTCACTAAGTAAAATGGTTTCTAGTTGCATCCATTTTGGGTAAATTCTCTTTTTACTTCAGTGGCTCCAGTTGGGTTTCGATTACTTTTCACCCTAAGAGCCCTAATATATTTATCTAGAAGTGGGCATGGGTGGGTGACTCTAGTAGAATAAATAGGCTAATCAAAGGTGGGCCAAAAGGTAAATAGGAAGCTACAAGCCCCGGCAGCTTGGTATTTGTCAGGGTACAAATATCAACACTAGAAGGGGCAGGAGATGGGGCCAAATAAGTTGGCAGAAATCTGACCACGAGAGCCAGGGTGTATCCAGTAAAGAACTTTGGACTTGGTCCAATGTATGCTCTGTTCCTTCTGCAGTGCTCCAAAGAGGCATTACGTAAAGGTGCTGTAACTGAAATGTCCTAAACCTGGGAGTGACAGGCAGTCTTCAGTTGCTGCGAAATTACTGAAATAGCTCGCTAAGGCTGTGGGTGGGAACTGGTGTATTTGTGTTTTGTTTTTTGTTATTGATATGGCCAAAGTACCCAACTTTCATCAGATGTTAAAAGAGTCCCTGACCCCAAATAGGTAGCAAGTCATGAACTGTGCTACCTGTGTACAGGCATTTTCAGGTGTAACTGGCTTCCAAATATCCATGCAGGTTTATCCACTCCACCCCTAACTTTCCTCAAAACTTAAAAAAAAGAGATTTATTTATTTGAAAGCAGAGTTACAGAGAGGCAGAGGAGAGAGAGAGAGAGAGAGAGAGGTTTTCCACCCACTGGTACACTCCCCAGATGGCCCAAACCGCTAGAGCTGCACCGATCCGAAGCCAGGAGCCAGGAGCTTCTTCTGAGTCTCCCACGTGGGTGCAGGGGCCCAAGAACTTGGGCCATCTTTCACTGCTTTCCCAGGCTATAGCAGAGAGCTGGATCAGAAGTAGAGCAACTGGGACTAGAACCGATGCCCATATGGGACCCCGGCACTGCAGGCGGCAGCTTTACCGGCTTCGCCACAGTGCCGGCTCCTCCTCAATACTCTTAAGCACAGAGAAAACCCCTCAAATGTGTCATAGGATGTGATTCTCCTTTGGAATCAGGAAAAGATGTAAAGAGATGGTCCAGACCTGGTTATTTCTAGAGATTTTGAGCTAGAATATTGGATGAGCTCTCCATCCTGTTTTTGGCTTGGGCAGCCCTATCAGGCTTGTAGGCCGTCGGAGATCACTCCTGGGCACTGTCCATGTCCTACCCAAAGCCAATTCCTAGCATCTTGGACCTTTCACCTGCAAATAAAGTGACTACGTGTCCCGGCATGCGCCGCGCTCCGGGCCGGCGGAGGCGGGGCGGACCGCCGCGGTGACGTCACCGCCCCCGGGCGGGCAGCGGGAGGGCGGGGCGGAGGGGCGGGCCGGGCAAGCGGCGGAGCGCGCTGGTGCTGATGCAGGATGGCTGGGCGCTCTGGAGCCCGGGAGGTCTGAGCCGGGCGAGGCTCGCTCCTTGCGCATCGCCTGGGCGACCCGCCGCGGGGTCGCAGGCAGGTGGGCCGGGGGTGCCGGGCAGGGCAGAGCCAGGTCAGGCGGGTCTGCAGCCGGCGGGGCCGGAGCCCGGGGGGCTGTCCACCGTCCCGGGCTCGGAGCGGCTGGAGCTGCCCGGCCGGCCGAGTTCGCGATGACCTGCTGAGAAGCGCCGCGGGAGGCTGCAGGAGGCGGCCCTGCTGCGGGCGGTACGGTAGCGGCCTCGTCCCTCAGAGCGCCCAGCCGCCCCCCACCCCCACCATCCCCGCGCCCCCTCCCTGCAGCCGGCCGCGATGGCGGATCCAGCCGAATGCAGCATCAAAGTGATGTGCCGGTTCCGGCCCCTCAACGAGGCGGAGATCCTCCGCGGGGACAAATTCATCCCCAAATTCAAAGGCGACGAGACCGTGGTGATCGGGGTAAGTGGCCGAACGTCCGGCCGCCCCTCCTGCTTCGCGCCGCTGGCGCCCCGACGCCCTGGACGGGGCGGAGATGTTCCGCCGCCCCTTCGGACGTCCCCGCTGGCCGCCCTCCCGGGGCAGGACGGAGACCCCTCACCTCGCGCTCCGTGGTTACCCCCTGGGTGGCGGGGCGGGCCCCGGGGGTGGGGGCAGGGGGCGAGGCAGAGCCCGGCGCCGCCATTGTTCGCGAGGTGGGGGCCCAGGTGGGCCCATTGTTCCCCACACTCTCCACGCTGCGTGGATAGTGTGTTCAGGTCACCCCCTAGCAGGAGTGCCTGGCCCCCCATGAGCTATGAGCTCCATGGATGCTTCCAGGCTTCAGTTCGATTTATCAAGCACTTTGCCTCTCTTCTCACGCCCTTAGCAAACAGGGAAGAAGAAAAGGCTTAGGAAGAATCCATGGCTAGGCCCCGGGCTCCCTGCCGTGGGTTTCACCTTGCTCCGCGCTGGTCCGGTGGAGTGCTTGGGCGGGGGCGGGGGGAAGGGCACTGGTGGCTCCCTAGTCCCCAGGAGGCCTGTGTATCTCCTGCTTGCTGTCACCCAGGCTGCCCTGAATGTGAGCCGGGGCTGGCTTTCTGCCGCTTGATCGAGCCCCCCACCTGATGTCCGCAGACCCTGCGGTATGCTTCGCGGGGCGTGGAGAGGAGGCTGCTTTTGCATCTGTACGGCAAGGGGGCACAGATCGCAGCCCTGCAGCCCCTCTGTGCCAAGAGCAGAAGTTACTTTGTGTGGCTAGGGCCCCCTCCCTCTGGGTCTCCAGTCCCCACTTTCCCCCCTCCCCCTCCCCGACTCAGCTCCCTCTCCGCAGCCTGGGCTGCCGGTGGGGGAGGGAGCACCAGTGGGTTTCAGTTCTTAAAGGGCTATGTCCGATGAAGTCCGCCAGCCCTGCCTCCAGTCCGCTGTCCCTAGCGTGTGTGGCTGACGGTGCCCTTTGTATGCAAACCGCGTGGGGAGGGACCCGTTAATGGGAGCCTCCCGGTCCCCGCTGACACGTTCTTGGCAGCCCGCTCCAGGCTGCTCATGCAGCCTTCCCGTCCTCAGCATTGATTAAGTGATGTCATCCCGATCACTGAGCATGCTCCAACCAGCCCCCTTCCCCCCCTCCCATTCTCCCAGTGGCTGGTGTATTTAGGTCAAGTGATTGACAGGTGACAGTTTTCCGAGGGTATCTCCGGAGTCCTCCCGGCCTGCATCCAGCTACAGAAGCCGACACACCAGCATCTATGCCGAGGGTGTCTGCCGCAGTCCCTGTGAAGGGCCCGGGGGACAGCAGGTGCAAGGGGTAGGAAGCTGCTGTGCAAGCCAGAGGAACAGAGGTGAAGCTCTGGCCTCGGGGCTTCATCCTGTACCTCCTTTGCCAAGGCAGCTCCCTTGACGACGCCTTCTCTTCTCCCCATTTTCACAGTCAGGAAACCATGACCTCCAAATGCTGTGTGGATAGGCGTTCATTCTGACTGCTGACCTATGAGGGAGGAAAGAGTGTTTTCTCTCTGCTTGGTGTTAACTTGCAGGGGAGATGTATGGTACAATTATTGATGGGAAGGGAAATTCTACAGTAAATGGCAGCTGTGGGCTAGTGACATTTCTGTGTGCTACTTACTAGTGCCCATGTGGCTTGTTTGGGTTACAGCTCTCTGCCAGGCTCTTCCTGCAGCCTTATCTGGGATTTCTTGAGCCAGGCTATGGGAGTTCCTGGGGACATCGAGTCCCTGCCCCTTGGCTTGTAACAATTTTTTAAAACAAGTAACTGCAGAATTAGGACATGTTCTGGTGACCCTGTTTTTTTCCCAGAGGTTTCAAAGAAGAACTTGAAGAAGTTCTTTTGCCACTTCCTCTCTGAACCCCCTTTCTTCTTCCCATCTTTCTCTTCTCTCACTTCCCCCTTTAACCTCCGCCCCCATCACCAGGACCAATGGAGCGGGTTAATAAATCATCTTCTTTTATATGTGTGCAAAGCAGAGATCCTAATTTCCAAGTAACTTTCTTGAGTATTATAATACTATAAGATGTAATCCCCATCTAAGTATATATATTGTTGACTAAGAAAATTAAAACTAAGCCACCGTATAAAATAAGAATGTGAATATATGCAATACTCTTCAGCTGTAAAGTGGTCTTTCTCATCCTACTGTAATCTTTGAATATAACAGGCAGTTTTCATTGTTAAGGTAAATTTTTATTGAAATAAAATATTCCTATGGAAGAGCATTATATCATAAGTGTCTGGTTTTAGGCGTTCACAACGTAGATGCTCCCTATAACTACCTCACAGACTAAGAAACTTCAGAAGTCCCCATAGTACTCCTTCTGGTCCCTAACTATCTCCTCCCCCACCAAGGGTAGCCATTGTTTTGACTTGGCTCATTTTTCTTTGTTTTACTTTCTACGTGTAAAACTATGCAGTATGGTCTCTCACATACAGTATGGTGTGTTTCTTGTGATGCACATGATGCTTGTCAAATCCAGCCCCATTGTGCCGTATCCCATGATTTGAAAGTACTGCAGTTTGTGCCTCAGTGAGCTGTTGATGGATATTTGTAGAGTTTCTGGCTTGGGACTGATAGGAATGCTACTGATGTGAACATGCTTTTACACATCTTTGCGTGAGTGTGTGTGCAGAGCAGAGGAATGTGAGATGCAGAAGGGTGTTGGGACTTGGGCTGGCACATGGTAGGGCCCTTCTTGATCTTAACTAATAATGTGGAACTCTTGGAGGTAACTGTCCTGGTAGCCTGGGTCAGGCTTTATACACGGAGTAGATTGGCCACGGGTCAGTTCATTCAGAACCAGCCCACGTGGCTTAGCTGCAGTGGGGATGGGCTAGGTAGGTACAGACATCTTTGCTTCTAGGGTCACAGACTGGGAAAGCTCAGAACTATCCAGAAATGTCAGTCACCTTCCCTCTCAGCAGAGACCAGTAAAGAATGAATTTCCCCGGGCTAGTCTTGTGGCATAAGGGTTAATTAAGCACCACTTGCAGTGATGGCATCCCATAACAGAGTGCTGGTTTGAGTCTTGCTGCTCTGCTTCTGATCCAGCTCCCTGCTAATGCACCTGGGAAAGCAGCAGATGATGGCCCAAGTATTTGACTCCCTGCACCTGTGTGGGAAACCTGGATGGAGTTCCTGGCTCCTGGCTTTCACCTAGCCCAGACCTGCCTGTTTTGGCCATTTAGGGAGTAAACCAGCAGATGGAAGATCACTCTGCCTTTTAAATACATAAATAATAAATCTTGAAAAAAAAAGTGAATTTCAGTGGAGTTGTTAGTCAAAATTCAGAATCTGAGAAATTCTTTGTGTGTTTGAAATGACGGTCTCCTTTTCTTTATATTTTCTTTAAAGTACAGTTTAATTCTTATGAAAGTGTATGCCGAGAGAGATTTTGTAGGTGAAGTTTCTCTTTTAAGAAGATGTCTGTAAGGAATCATTTTCACCATTCCTGCACTTTTGACAAAGATTTATTTATTTGAAAGGCAGAACAACAGAAAGAGAGAGAGAGGGAGGGACAGAGAGAAAGAGATTTTCCATCCACTGGTTCATTCCCTGAATAACCTCAACAGCCAGCTCTGAGCCAGGCCAAAGCCAGCAGCCAGGAATTCCATGCAGTCTCCCACATGGGTGGCAAGGGCCCAAGAACTTGGGCCATATTCTGCTGCCTTAGCAGGATCTCGATCTGAAGTAGAGTAGCTGGGACTTGAACAATGCTTCTATATGGGATGTCAGTGTCACAAGTGGCAGATTAACCTGCTGTACCAAAGATCCATTCTGCATTTTTTTTTCAGCTCCGATACAAAGATTTTTTTCCCTGAATGCCCTAGTCACAGTCTCTCTACTTAGTATTTGTTTTGTATATGATCTTGTAATTTTTTGGCCTTACATTATTATTATTTTTGGTTGTGTGTTTAAAGACATTGCAAGCCATGTGTAGAGCCCAGAACCACCCATGTTTTGCTCCCTTGTATGTTCCAGAACCTTGTCTGTGGAAGGTGCTTTATAGATATTTATTGATTTCTTTGTTGATTCTTGAAATCTTTACTTGGCATATTTAACTTATTTATGGACTTTTAATTGGGTTATGTGGTGGGGAGTAGTGAAAAACATCTTTTTTTAAAAGATTTTATTTATTTATTTGAAAGTCAGAGTTACACAGAGAGAGGAGAGGCAGAGAGAGACAGAGAGAGAGAGACAGAGAGAGAGGTCTTCCATCCGTTGGTTCACTCCCCAATTGGCTACAATGGCCAGGGCTGCGCTGATCTGAAGCCAGGAGCCAGAAGCTTCTTCTGGGCCTCCCACGCGGGTGCAGGGACCCAAGGATTTGGGCCATTGTCTACTGCTTTCCCAGGCCACAGCAGAGAGCTGGATTGGAAGTGGAGCAGGCGGGTCTTGAACCGGCACCCATGTGGGATGCTGGCGCTTCAGGCCAGGGCATTAACCCACTGTGCCACAGCGCCGGCCCCGTGAAAAACATTTTTTAAGGAGAAGCACCATTCCTTTGAGCAGGCCTGGCAAGATGGCGAGTATTATGTTTAGCATGCTATAGGAGAGTCGGGAAAGAGCTGCCTTCAGCTTTGTTGAAAATCAGGAGCTAATGGCACTGATGAGGAGCTTGAAGTAGAGGGTGGGGTGAGCTAGTGAGTCTAGAAGGGGCTCCTTCCCGCAGCATATTAGTTCTTCAGAGAAAACAATTGGATTTACAACACATTTCTCGGAGTACTCTTCCATTAGCTGCTAAAATCCTGGTGAGTCATCCACTACTGTGGGCTCTGCCTGTTGGTTTTGAAGCAACTATATTGATGGAAACTGTCTGACTTGGCCAGTTCCCAGGAAAGTTCTTTGAGAGAGACTTTCACACTTGAGTTTCCCCTTGTGGAGTTTTCTCTTGTTCTCAGCGCCAAGAAAGCTGATCGTTTAAAGATGGGCATTTCCTGACGAGGCTGTGATGGTTCTGACTTGAGGGCC